TGGAGTTCTACCTAAAGAAGTCACTTCCCTAGTAGATTGTCAAATAGTCTCTTCAATAGGGTTTATTTCCCCAACAAAACTACAAATTCCCCAGTTTGATTTTGTCTCTTAGACTATTACAAATCAATGGACGAAACCCCTTAATCCCCAACAGAGTCGTTGCTATCCCCAAAAGTTAATGTGAATTCTAGAATCCGACCAGATAACAGATAACTTTATTTCCCCAAGCAAGTCGCTGTGAAGCCTGAAATCCATCCAGATAACAATTAACTTTTATTCTCCCCAGTAGAGCAATAGACAACCAAGGTTCCTAAACTCTATCCCTCAAGCAGAGATCAACATTCCTCGCAGAGTTTCCTCAAGCAAAGAGCCAAAGTCAATTTTCCCCAGAGCAGTTCTCCTCAACAAAATAGGAATCCCCAACGGAAGCATTCTAAAACAAAGTTCGAAGATACACATACTCTTCATCTCCAATAAGTAGTCTGGGATTTAACTTCCCAAAGCTCCCCAACATTTGTCAAAGATGCACTTCAATAAAACATATCACGTTCGTACATCATATCACATACATGACAAATGCATATAGCACAATCTCATTTATTTTGAGAACATCATTACACCATGCATACATCTGCATGAAACTAACCCTCTTCCTTGCAGGAAAAAATCAATCATCAATCAACATACCTCTTCTGGTTAGATTTATTTCTTCTAGATTAAAGACAGGCAAACAAAGACCTCTTCTGGTTAGATTTATTTCTTCCAGATTAAAGACAGGCGAATGAAAACCTCTTCTGGTTAGATTTATTTCTTCCAGATTAAAGACGGGAAACCAAAGACCTCTTATGGTTAGATTTATTTCTTCCAGATTAAAGACAGGAAAACAAAGACCTCTTCTGGTTAGATTTATTTCTTCCAGATTAAAGACAGGAGAACAAAGACCTCTTCTGGTTAGATTTATTTCTTCCAGATTAAAGACAGGCGAACAAAGACCTCTTCTGGTTAGATTTATTTCTTCCAGATTAAAGAAGGGAAAACGAAGACCTCTTCTGGTTAGATTTATTTCTTCCAGATTAAAGACAGGCGAACGAAGACCTCTTCTGGTTAGATTTATTTCTTCCAGATTAAAGACAGGTGAACGAAGACCTCTTCTAGTTAGATTTATTTCTTCCAGATTAAAGACAGGCGAACGAAGACCTCCTCTGGTTAGATTTATTTCTTCCAGACTAAACACAGGCAATCAATATACCTCTTCTGTTTAGGAATATTTCCCCAGTGAAGTTACCAAACAACAGACATCTTCTGGTTAGATTTATCTTTTCTAGTTAAAAACGGGAAAAAGACATCCACAGTTTCAGTATAAATCGACCAAAGATTTATTCTGATACTTCACCCTCGACAGTCACTCCGGATGGCATCTATAAGCCCATCTCCGACAAACTCTTCATCACTTCTCCAAATGGCATATCTAAACCCATTCCCAATAATCAACAAATAGTTCACCTCATGCAAAAGTGAGTGCAAATTTCTGGGCACTTAAGTGTGCAATCATCTTCCACCTTCAAGTCACGAATGTTGGACTCGCCAATCTACTTCTTCAGGTTTAAGAAGATTGAACAGGGGCAGCTGTTGTACCCCAAAATTTTCCCTCTCTATTTTCAAGAAATTTTACAAAGGACCTCCAATACTCAAGGATTCTCAAGGAATTGATCAGACAAAATCACCTCCGAAACACTGAGACCACAAATTAGGGTTTTGGCTAAGAATGACTAATCATTGACTTTTGACCTAATACATGACCTAATGGTTTGAAGCATAATCTCAAAGACTCAAATATAACATTTTGACCCAATTTCATGGCTTAAATCATTTCTCAAGATTAGTGGATTGATAGTTGAAATTTGGTTAACTATGAAAAGTCAACTAATACACCAAAAGTCAAACTTCGACTTTTCGGTCAAAATTTGATTTCAAAGATCATAATTCATTAAGATATTCAAAATGCAAAGATTTATCATCAAGAAATCAAGAAAGTCAAAAGTCAATGTGAAAAGTCAAAGTTTTCAAGACTTATAAATTTTTCTAAGTATTTTTTATACATGATAATTTCATTACTTCATGCCAATTTTTTACCAAGATGCAAGATGATTCAAAGAAAACTTTAAACATGAAAATTTTAGATCTTAATGATATCTAAAACTTTTCTTTGCTGATCAAGTCCTAGAAGTGCTTGGGTTTTGAGTTATAAATTCATGAAGTCATAGGATTTTTGTATAAACACTTAAAGAAATTTCCAGCAAGTTTGGTCTGGTTTTTATCCCAACTTCTTGGCCAATTTTCATCAAGTTCCAATTGGATTCTTCAAAAATAGAAAACATGAAGGTTGTAGAGGATGTTAAAAACTTTCTAAAATGTCAAAGAACTCATTGAGATCATACTTGATCTAAGAGAATCAAAGGCAAGAAGTTAGGGTTTCAAACTTGATTTACAAGGCAGATCTGTGATAAATAATGAACCAAAACCCTAGCTATGCTGCATAATCTTCACTTTACAGGCCTCAAACTTGAATATCACTCCTTAATTAAATTCTTGCACAACTGATTAAACTATGATCCAAGTGTTTGAGCCTTTGTCCAATTGATCATTCCATTTTTGAAAGAAAGTAACATATCCATTCTTGAAAAGTTCACTTTAATCACAGAGTCAATTTCTTGAGCCTATAACTTGTTGTTCTGATCACACTCAACTCCTACAAGTCAGAACAAACATGTTTAAAGTGATCAACCACTTTAAATAGCTTGGTACAAAAATTGGAAACATGTTCTTCATGCTTGCTTAAAAAACAAGCAAGACAGTCATAACATGTGATTTCAAAATCTGAGCTGTTTCAAGTCTCAAACCTTCTCTATAAATAGAGAGGCCATTTGCAAGATAAAGGGCCAAAAGTTTTGTTGTGTAGACAAGCCCTCACAATATCATACTTTCAAAAAGCCGTAACTGTCTACAAAGCCTCCACTATTGAGTTTTGAAGTCCAAATATTTAAACCTCTCACACTTTGCAAAGTTCTATCCAAACAAACCATCTCAACACTCTACATACCTCATACAGAAGTTGTTAAAGCACAAGAATAATTTATGTTACATCATCATCACCATTTTCCAAAAACAGCCACCTGCAACTTAGCTTCTGCAACTCTAAATCAAAGCACAAATTTCAGTTTCAAGGTAAGTTTTCTTGATTTTGAACTCTTCATACAAACCATCATTAATGATTCATTTGTGAAGATAAAATGTAGATATCTTTGTCCTTGAAGATAATCACATGCTTACTTTTCATTTTTATCAATTATATGTTGAGAACTAACCTGTACAGACAACAAAATGATGTTAGAGCTAAAAAACTGTAGCATGAGTCGACACACACTCACATGAGTCGACACATTTTAGTGATAGAACAGAGTGTGAGTCGACACAAGGTCTTATATGTTGATACATATTGTTATCCAAACTAAAAACAGAAAGACAAAAGGTGTATGAGTCGACACCAAACACGAATGTATCGACTCATACTGAGTTGATTTTGGTTTTACAGGAACAAGAAGGGTTATGTGTCGATGCGTAGATGCATGTGTCGACTCATAATGGTTAAAAAAATTCCTTTATTTTTACACTGTTTTTATATTATATATATATATATATATATATATATATATATATATATATATATATATATATATATATATATATATATATATATATATATATATATATATATTTCCTCATTGCTATTCAATATGGTTGTAATAACTAGGCTTCTACTTCATCCTCATTTGTAAATTGTACCCCCATCCCCCAAGTGATGTAATAGTTTAGGATTTTAATTTCCGCAATTTATCGCTTTAATATAATTGTTAGTAATTAGGGTGTGTATGGTATGATAAAATCAACCGTTAAAAAACCCTAATCTCAAAGACAAAAATGAATGCAATCAAACACACTTTTCACACGTGCACCTCTAGGATAACCTCGCTTGTTGCCTCGGAAAATAGTCATGTCCCTCGAATGTGGGACGCTTTAGCAAAGACCCTCGAATGAAAAGATCATAGTCTCTCGATGACCCTTCAACATTGCCTTCGGTAAAATGATCTTAGTCCCTTATAAAAATTGCTAAAGCGTCTTACAAGTTTCTTTCTATGACTATACAATTGACACGCGCCTGTCCCTTCGCATCCAATAATACGAATGTTTATCAATCAATGGTAAGATAAGGCTATTTAAAGGTGAAAGAAAAGAACTAAGACTTTTTGAGTAGGTAGAATGCTCGTAGTTGTTTGCTCACAACATTTCAAAACATCTTTCAAAAACACCAACACTTTTCCATGAAATATTTTCGAAAGTCAACACTTTGTATGCATTCTTATAGAGACGAGAATCATTACAAAGTTCTCCTAAACAAAGGAACTTTTCAAAAATACTTTCAAACAAATACAAACACATTTCAAACAAAGCATTTTCAAAGTGAGCTAACAACTAAGAGCCCGTAGATAACTACGGATGGAAAGGGTCCTAACACCTTCCCTTTTCATAACCAACCCCCCGAAATCAAGAAAATTTTCAAAAGGTCTTTCCTGTTCTTTTCACCCTTTATTTTATTAGATAAAAGAAAAGACGGTGGCGACTCTTGCAATCCGCAACAATTGCGATAAAACGCAAAACACCCAAGTCAGTTCTCTCACCGTATTACAACAGTCTTATGTACATCAATATTGTTCATGTCTCTTTTCTCCAGCAGCAACCTCTTCACCTGGAAAACCAATTTCTGTTGTCCATGGTCCTCGAAAAAATATGGTACAAAGTGAAAACAGCAGTAGCTCGAGAGGTAACAAAGGTAATTTGATGTTAAATGAACAAAACATTGCAAAAGCTGCACCAAAGGGTGATCAAAAAATCACTAAGATAGACATCACATCGACTGATGATGATATGGGTCTGAGTTTCTAATGCATGTCGGAGAACAAAATAGATCCAGCAATTTCAAAGCCAAAACAGATAAGCAGGAGGTTACGAATAAACCTCACATCGAACCCAATTCTAATGCTGGATCTAAGCAACCAAAAACAATTAAGAATGTAATGGTGGCACCAAAACATGATAAAGTTAGAGAGACAAGCCATCCAGTGGATGGAAATGGGGTGATGGCCACTGGAACATCAATACATAATAAATATGGAGACATCGTCTAAATTGCCCAAACCTGATTTTAGTGTTACATGTTTGAAGCGTAATTTAGATGTGCTAACTATCGCACCTTCAAAAGCAACCCTTAATTCTGCCAAACAAATATAGAGGTCACATACTTCTAAACATCAAGTACACTACCATTAGAATGATTACCTATAAAGATATCTTTATCATACTGACACTTATTTCTTGTGTATTAATCCATGACAGCAGTTACCAATGGTAGAATCTACACCCAAAACAAAACCTCGACATAAGGTAACATTGTCATCTGGTCCTATCAAACAAGTAGCAGCAGAAGGTGGAGTTTCTAGAAGATCAAAACAAAAAACTCCTCCAAGTCTTCTTAAACCACCCTCATGTCTGGGAAGTATAAGGCTGGCTGAAAATGATATCCCAAATGCAGCAAATGATACAGGAAGGTTAGATCCAAATAAAATAGCTCAAGAGTATAAGATGAGCCATCATCAGCTGACTAATAGTCATCTGGCACATGCTTCTAGAGAGCCTTTGAAGGCTATTGAAAGAAACACCAAAGGAATGCAAACAGACATCTACAATTCTGTCTCGTCACCAGTCTCTATTCAAGGATTCAAACTTTCTGACTTTGCAACCACTTTTATTGATATGAGTGAGCCAACACTTCCTGAGCATGAGAGTTTTAATCTCACTGAAAAAATGGACTCACGTCCAGATAGCAGTGGACCTGCTAAAAATCTGTCTGGTGAAACCTCTCCCTTTACATCAAATTTTCAAAATTCCATTACTAGAAATAGAGAGTAAGTCCCAGATTAACTCTGGATCACTCAGATTGACATTCTGAGGTAATGTATGCTTCTGATGAGAGTTTTCTTACAAATCAAACAACTAAATCGTCTTCCTGTAAGGGTGATGATTCCTCTGCCAAAGTCAAACAAGAAACTAACCCCCTTCAAGATATTTTTGAGGAAATGACTTCCACCAACTCTCAAGCATTTATGATAGAAATATGGACGGTAGGGTGGGTCATCATTTGTTACTATAAAATAGGGAAGGAAGAGAGAGATAATTATCTGAGCTTGTTACTATAATTATTATAGGAGTTTGTTACGACAAAATAGGGAAGAGAATAATCAGCTAAGTTTGTGTCTACAAAATAGGAAAGGAAGGGAGGGAAGTAGGTATCTAATTATTCTATTAGGGTTAAGGAACACCATCTTGGTAAGGGAAGCACTGCGTGCTTAGGGACTAATAGATATTCTCTATCAGTTTGTTATTTTCATTATTGATATTTCTCTGTAATTGTTCATCCGCAATAATACAATTATGACATTCTTTTACTATTCTATTCATATACTCACTGTTGATCTACATATTCATATAAGAACCCATTAATTAGTTCGACAAACCGGATCAAAAACCCTACCAACAGAGATTGTAGATGTCAAAGAAACCTAAGATGGGAGATTGGATTGAAGCCTTGGAGAAGCAGATGGAGAATGTAACAATGACTCTGCAGGAGCTGGCTCTGCAGATGCAACAACAGAGTGTGGTATTAACTGAATTGAGCAAACAGACTGAGAAGGAAACACAGGAGGCGAAGACATCTTTTGGTGATTCTTCACAGAGCGGATCGCGCCTTGTGGGGAAGAAGGTGAAAATCCATTTGAAGAGCTATCCACCTTGCGTCAAATCGACATCGTGGAAGAATATGTTGAGGTGTTTGAGTTGATTTCATCACAGGTGAGGAGATTGCCAGAGGAGCAATATTTAGGGTATTTCATGAGTGGATTGAAACCTCCAATTAGAAGGCGTGTTCGCACTCTGAATCCTGTGACACGAATGCAGATGATGCGAAATTCTAAAGATGTCAAAGATGAATTAAAAGAGGAAAATGATGATGGGGAAAGGAGGTATACAAAGAAGTCAGAAGGTGAGCATGGTAATCGTGGTGATTGGACTGGGCTGTTAGAAAAGACACCAAATGGTCCAAATTCCATTGATAATTCCAATAAGTCCTCATGTTCGGGTTGGTCTAACCCGACTCAGAAAACGGGTTCAGTGGGTTATACCCAACATCCCACGACTTTTATGTGTTCAACGGGACAGAAAATGGAACGTGATCGCCAATGGAATTCCTCACAAAAATGGGAAGGGGTTCGAAGCATTCTGAACGATGAGATAGCTGAAAGAAGAGCTAAGGGGTTCTGTATTAAGTGTGGGGGTAAGTTCCACCCAACGTTTCATAAATGTCCAGAGAAGTCCATGAGAGTGTTGATTTTGGGGGAAGGAGAGTGTGTGAATGAAGAAAGTGAAGTCATTGTCATGAAGGCTCTTACTTTTGATGTTGGGAAAGAAAAAGAGGTGGAGTATAAGCTAATTATGGGGAACATAGGAGAGTTTCATACCATGAAGATCGAAGGAAAGTTGATGAATATGGACGTTGAGGTGATGGTGGATGGTGGTGCTAGCCACAATTTCATTTCCCCTAAGGTTACAACTTTCTTAGGTCTAGAAGTCACTCTTATTGTTGCTAGGAACATCAAGCTAGGTGATGGACATAAGGTGACTTCATTGGGAGTATATAAAGGGATAATAATTAACCTGGGATCGTGTGTGGTGACTGTGGATGCTATGGTTTTTGAGTTGAGAGGTCTAAATGTCGTCCTAGGAGTGTCTTGGCTGTCAACACTAGGTCAAGTGATGATGAACTGAAAGACCTTAACTATGCAGTTCTGACATGAAGAGGGAGAAGTGGTGCTGCAAGGACAAAGGGAATTACCTAGAGAATTAGAGGTTACAGAAGTTGCATATAGGTATCCAAGCAAGGTGTTGGGCTCAAGGATCACTATAAAGAAGGGTATTACAGTTCACCAGAGTTTGATCCAATGGAAGAATAAGTCTATTGATGATGTAACAAGGGAAGACAATGACGGTTTGCATGGTCAGTTTCCTGAATTTGGACTTGAGGACAAGTCTATTCCTATGGAGGTGGGAGTTGATAGAAACGTGGATGGTAGGGTGGGTCATCATTTGTTACTATAAAATAGGGAAGGAAGAGAGAGATGATTATCTGAGTTTGTTACTATAATTATTATAGGAGTTTGTTACGATAAAATAGGAAAGAGAATAATCAGCTAAGTTTGTGTCTATAAAATAGGAAAGGAAGGAAGGTAAGTAGGTATCTAATTATTCTATTAGGGTTAAGGATCACCATCTTAATTAGGAAAGCACTGCGTGTTTAGGGGCTGATAGATATTTTCTATCAGTTTCTTATTTTCATCATTGTTATTTCTCTGTAATTGTTCATCCACAATAATACAATTACGGTATTCTTTTACTATTTTATTCATATACTCACTGTTGATCTATATATTCATATAAGAATCCATCAATTTACTAGCCCATTTCGGGAGTGAAGTCTGTTTGTGAAGTTAGTGTAGTAAGTGTGCCAAATAATAAGCCTCATAATGTTCACGAGCCGAAACTTAGAGGCATATTGACTCGTGATGACAAATTCACGGTGAGGGAAGGAATGTCATCAGTGGCTGAAACTGCTCCTCTGGTTATATCTAACAAAATTTCAAGCCAAAATGTTTTACAAGATAAAGAAATGTTTTTACAGAATCTAGCAACTGAAAGGCCAACTTCTGGCCATCTTCCCCCGCCTTTTGATGATGTCATCCATGTTATACGCCATAGCAGTTACCGTATGGGAAGTGAGCATCCAGTAAAGGAATCAATGGAGATGGGAGATACAAATGTAGATGTTGGTAAACTTATCAACATTGAAAAGGATGATTTAGAAATAAGAAATGTGGGAACTCTATGATTTCTTAAATCTTCAAAATGCTCTAAAGCTACCACTGATAATTCCGGAATCAGAAACTTGAGCTTGAAGTCAAGTATTTCTGACCATCCTGGTGTTGAAAAGAAACATGCAAGAGACTCTGATTCTCTCGTTTTGAAACCTAATTCGCTAAATATACCAAAATATAGCCCTCCAACAGCCGAAGAGAAAATGCCAGAAAAAGAATCTTTGTAAGTTAAATCTTCCAAGCAGAGAGCTGAGGCACTTGAATTATCCTTATGTATACTTAATGAATAATAAAAGTGAAGCTCTACCAAAATACAAGACTGCTAAACAGGTATGGGAGGCTCTGCAAAAGAAATATGATACTGAAGAAGCAGGTGCAAAAAAATATGCTGTCAGTCGCTACTTGAATTGCAAAATGGTGGATGAAAGGTCCGTGGAAGCTCAAAGCCACGAGATACAGAAGATTGCTCATGAAATCATAACTAAAGGTATGCCCCTCAATGAACAATTTCATATTGCTGTTATAATTGACAAGCTGCCTCCTGGTTGGAATGATTTTAAAAACTTACTCTGACATAAAACTAAAGAATTTTCAATCGAGAGTTTGATTACCCGCCTCTGAATTGAAGAGGAAGCTCGAAGACAAGATCAGAAAGATGAAGTCTTAGTTGTTTCAAACAACAAAAAGAAATTCGGTGCGGTTCTGAAGCCTACGGACAAACCTTTAAAGAATCACAACCGTAATACTGTGAACCAAATTAAGAATGGGAATCCCTCTAGGGGCCCATATACTCCAATTCCTAGGCAGCAACCACCATCCCAGAGAAATGATGCTCCGGTTTTCACTTGCTACAATTATGGGAAACCGGGTCATATGGCTAAGAAATGTAAGAGCAGGCCTAAATCTGCTACTGGCCCAAATACACAGGTTAACCTGACTGATGAGCAATTCATTGATATGATCACTGAAGTCAACATGGTTGATGGAAGTGATGGTTGGTGGATAGACACTGGCGCCTCTCGTCATGTTTGTAATGATCGTGCTATGTTTAAGACATACATGAATACTGAAGATAAGAAAGTGTTGTTGGGAGATGCCCACACCACTAATGTTGTTGGAATTGGAGATGTTGAGCTGAAGTTCACTTCAGGAAAGACCTTGATCTTGAAGCACGTCATGCACGTTCCTGAAATTAGGAAGAATCTTGTTTCTGGTTTCCTTTTAAATAAGGTTGGGTTTAGTCAAACTATAGGGGCAGATTTGTACACCATCACTAAGAATGGTATTTTTGTTGGGAAAGGGTACGCCACTGATGGCATGTTTAAGTTAAATGTTGATTTGAATAAAATTTGTCCTTCTGTTTATTTTCTGCGTGATTTTAATATTTGGCATGCTAGACTTTGTCACGTTAATAAGCGAATTATGTATAATGCAAGCAACTTAGGCCTGGTCCCTAAACTAAATGTCAATGATTCAAATAAATGTGAATATTGTACTCAAGCTAAGATAATTAAGACATCACATAAATCAACTCTAAGAGAATCTGATCCCCTAGATCTTATACACTCTGATATATGTGAATTAGATGGAACTTTGACTAGGAACAATAAACGTTATTTTATCACCTTTATTGATGATTGTTCTGATTATACTTATGTATACTTAATGAAGAATAAAAGTGAAGCACTTGATATGTTTAAGTTGTATGTAGTCGAAATTGAGAATCAACTTAGTAAGAAGATCAAGAGACTTCGTAGTGATAGGGGAACTGAATATGACTCTGGTCTATTTAATGACTTTTATAAAGAACATGGAATTATACATGAAACGACTGCTCCATATTCTCCTGAAATGAATGGTAAAGCAGAAAGAAAGAATAAAACTCTTACTGAACTTGTTGTTGCAATTATGATGAATTCTGGTGCTGCACCTCACTGGTGGGGGGAAATTTTATTGACTGTTTGCTATGTCCTGAATAGAATCCCCAAGTCAAAATGTAAGATCTCTCCTTACGAGATATTAAAGAAAAGACAATCAAACTTGTCTTATTTGAGAACTTGGGGCTCTCTGGCTTATGTCAGAATTCCGGATCCGAAGCGAGTTAAACTCACTAGTAGAGTATATGAATGTGTTTTCATTGGATGTGCAGCAAACAGTAAAGCATATAGGTTTTATGACCTAATAGCAAAAGTGATCATAGAATCAAATGATGTTGAATTCTATGAAGACAAATTTCCCTTTAAATTGAGAAATAGTGGGGGCACACAATCGAGTCACACTCCTGTGATAAGAAGCACAGAATGCAACGACAATATAGAAACAGAACTTCGACGAAGTAAACGAGTAAGAGTCACTAAAGACTATGGGCCTGACTATGCGGCTTATAATGTAGAAGAAGATCCAATGAATCTTCAAGAAGCCTTGTCTTCTCTGGATGCTGATTTATGGCAAGAGGCTATCAATGATGAGATAGAATCTCTAGAATCCAATAAGACCTGGAACTTAGTAGACTTGCCTCCTAGTTGCAAACCAATTGGTTGTAAATGGGTTTTAAAAAAAAACTAAAACCTGATGGAACTATTGATAAATACAAGGCTCGCCTTGTTGCCAAGGGTTTTAGACAAAGAGAAAATATAGATTTCTTCGACACATTTTCTCCTGTCACTAGAATTACATCCATTAGGGTACTTATTTCAATAGCTGCTATTTATAACTTAATAGTACACCAAATGGATGTAAAAACAGCTTTTTTAAATGGTGACTTAGAAGAAGAAATCTATATGGAACAACCGGAAGGGTTTGTAATCTATGGACAAGAAAATAAGGTCTGTAAGTTAAATAAGTCGTTGTATAGACTAAAACAAGCTCCTAAGAAATGGCATGAAAAATTTGATAACTTAATGATATCAAGTGGGTACAAAGTGAATGAAAGTGACAAATGCGTTTACTACAAATCTGAGAATCGCATTTGCACTATCATATGTCTTTATGTTGACGATCTACTCATATTTGGATCTAACATTTAGACCATTAATGATGTGAAATCATTATTGTGCAACAACTTTGATATGAAAGATCTCGGAGAAGCAAATGTGATCCTTGGCATCAAGATCACGAGATCCGAACAAGGAATTTCTTTGGATCAATCACATTATGTGGAGAAGATCTTAAAGAAATATAATTACTTTGAATGTAAACCTGCATGCACACCATATGATCCAAGTGTGAAACTATTTAAGAACACTGGAGAAAGTGTCTGACAATCAGAATATGCGAGAATCATTGGCAGTCTTAGGTATGCCACTGATTGTGCTAGACCCGACATTGCATATGTCGTAGGATTGTTATGCAGGTTTACGAGTAGATCGAGTAAAGAGCACTGGAAAGCTATTGAACGAGTCACGAGGTACCTCAAAAGGACCATGGATCTCGGTCTACATTATCAAAAGTTTCCTGCTGTACTAGAAGGGTACAATGATGCAGATTGGAATACTTTGTCAGATGATTCTAAAGCTACTAGTGACTATATATTTAGCATAGCTGGAGGAGCTGTATCTTGGAAATCAAAGAAACGAACTATTCTAGCTCAGTCCACAATGGAATCTGAGATGATAGCACTAGCCACAGCTAGTGAAGAAGCAAGTTGGTTGAGATGCTTGCTAACTGAGATCCCTTTATGAGAAAAACCTATGCCAGCTGTGTTGATCCACTGCGATAGTACCGCAGCTATTGCAAAAATTGAGAACCGTTATTATAATGGTAAAAGACGTCAAATAAGAAGGAAGCACAACATTGTTAGAGACTGTATCTCTAAAGGAGCTGTAAGAGTGAATCATATACGCACTGATGAAAATTTAGCAGATCCTTTGACGAAAGGATTAGCTAGAGAGAAAGTCCATAATACATCCAAAAGGATGAGACTAATGCCTATAAAGAAATGAGTTGCTCATAATGGTAACTCGACCTAGATGACTGGAGATCCCAAGAAATAGGTTCAATGGGTAATAACAAGTTATGAGTAATATGAGATGATCATGCAAGTAAAGCATGAATCCTGAAGTAATAAGAGGATGATATAATAGAAACTCTTAATGAGATCTATACTCTGTATGAGGGAGTACCTAGGCTACAGGAGTACTCTTGATAGACTCACCTATGTGATTGTGGAACTTGGGCCGGTTCCTATGGAATTACGAGGCAGGATTCCTAGAGCCTTCACTAAACCGGGATATACGTGCAGGGCCATTAAAGCACAGGCTATTAGAATACACCTTAAGAAAAGGTTGTGTGCGGGTCTGATGTCTGAGATAGAGTTCAAGACAATAATGTCACTCTTGTTGAATCAGAATCCTACTTGCTACGCAAAGGTTCAAGTCGTAGACACCTTTTCTTATGCACAATCTTAGAAACGTTTGACGTACTTCTAAAAATCACCTTTTAAATTCAAGTGGGGGATTGTTGAAAATCTTGGTATGATGTAAATATTGGAGTGGGAGTTAGAATATTTTATTGACATTAAATGGGCAATAAATGAGCACAAGTAAGAACTAGTATGGAAGTGAATTTGAAAAGATTCATTTTAGTCTCACATAGGAGGGATCATAAATACTAGTAGTGTATATATATTCCAACTTGGACAATTGGGTTGGACCCCAAGGGGCACCCCAATTTTGTAAAGGAGTGAGGACACACCCATAAGTCATCTAGACACACGCGCGCGCGCCGCCGCTGTCCGACCGGCTCGGCTCGGTCCGGTCCGGTCCGGTATAGATGAATTAATCTTTTTTGAACCGAATTAGCGGAAATTAATTAATTAATACTAATATTATTATTAATTAATTAATAGATGGTGATGTGTCCTGCACAAAAGACCAAGTCTTAACCTAATTATTGACTGGTTTTGCTTGTCCTCCAAGAGTCCGTGAGACTTGCTGACCAAGTAAAATAACGGCCACCTTTGACTGGACCAATTCCACATCTCCCACGATTTTCTCCCACTAGACCTGTTCCATTCAGTTGGACCTTTCACTTATAAATTAAGTTGTTTCGGTTCATTTGGGCAGTTCAAGAATTCACTACTACAATTCTCTCTTCTCTCTCATTACTCCCTTCATCTATATTTTTCTTCTCTCTTATTTTCGACTGGATCACTTCGTATCCAGATACTAAGACTAGTTAACTACCATCCGAATGTGTCATTTTACGAACGACTAATTATAGTGCAAGT